AAAAAACACAACAACACGCATAAATTGGCGACGAGAAAAGTGTGCTGCTTGTTTGCGAGCACGGGTGTGCTCTTTCTTGTTGCTCCTGAGGGTGCGGTGCCACAACGCAAAAATCGATTGCAACAGGTGCAGCGGATCGGTTTTTTGTTCTTTTTTACCGCACTCAATCGTTACTGTGTGTTATCCGACATTTTCGCTTATCCGACGTTCTGCCAGCCCATTTATGTCGGATAAGCGAGACTCTACTGTACTTTTACAGAATAGCATTGAAAGTCCTGCAGAATCAGCCAGCGTGCCCAAGAATGTAAGTCAAAAGCTCTGAGCTATGTCCATTGTGTCACCTGAAATTTTGCATCTAAGGTAAAGAAGCTCATTATAGCAGCAATGAAGCCACTACTAAGAGACCTAAAAGACCAAGCTGAGAACAGATCATCCTAGAGAAAGGCCACCTATGTGGTGGCTCTAAGAGTCAGTATCCACTTGCTGGGACATCGTAATCATCATCTTATCTGGGTTGAGAAGTCATAGCTTGCTTCAAAGCACCAGTCGGGACAAATCTTGGATGTTAACCTTTGAAACAAGTTGGTGTTGGATCCCCCCTTTGGCTAATACTGTTTTACTTTCCACATTGGTAGGACTGGAAATGAAAGGTGATAACGAATCCACCCATGCAAATCCATAGAGATTTGTGACAGTATAGATTTCTACACTCATACAAAACAGTTCCATAATTACCCCCCAAAAAGTAGAGGTATAGCAAGATAAATATTACAACCCTACATAGAGAAGGATCTTCAGGGTTTCTTGATGCCTGAAATTATTCATAGAAAGGCTTGTCAAAATACCTTAAACCAAGATTTTCCCCAGAGTCTTCCTAGAGTATGCATTCTGCCTTAGGGGTCTCTAAACTCCTACAGGATTGTACCCTTTCTTCCTTACATGGGGTGAAATGCATTCTTTATTTCACGATGCCTTTTCACTTGGTTTTCTCTAAGTTCTCTTTGTGTGTGTCTATGATTTTTTTTAACTACACAAAGTCCTGATTACTAGTTTTTGACAAGGGTTGATTTTGTTTTTGGGGGACTGGGCACACTATTACATCAACCCTTTGGTGGGGGTGCCCCTGAGCATTAGTTTTCAAGGCAAAATACATTTTGGCTCTAACTTTGGCTTTAACTTTGGGTCCATTTGCACTCTAACTCAGCAGGAAGCTGTTTCAGATCTGTGACATGCTCACGCATTAACTAGTCCCCGGTGCTTTCTCTTTAACCACCAAGTCAACAAATGTCAGATTTGTTTTTCTTCAGCCACAGGTGCCATGTATTCCCCCTGGGCAATTTCAAGATCAAGCTTCCAAACCACTTAACAGAGTTCTTATTGACTGATTTAATTCTAGCTGTGCCCCTATCATTATGGGGATTTATTTTCCTTTCCTTTCTCTCCAGAGAAATGCCCAACAATCTTTGAGTCCAATAACTAATTGAATCAGTCAGGGATGTCCCCTGACAGGAAGAATTATCATAAAAGTTTCAGCTCTGCTCTTTGATAGAATCCTCCAGAGGCAGACCTTTGGCAGACACATGGAGTAATGTGCAGTTAACTTCCCACACTGACCCTGAAGGCCCTCAATGTAAATATTTTCTGGTTTAGAACTTAGATACTTTAGGCAAAAAGTATCACTGGATAATTTCAGACTTTGAACTTCTGGGTCCCATGGATCCTCCCCACTAAAGATCAGGGCTGTCTGTATTCCTTCACATCAAAATGTGCTACACTGGGGAAAATAAGGGGTTGAGTGCAAATGGACCCAAGTTTCTGCCTGCCAGGGTCATCCCAAAAAAGAACCACCTTTTCCATTTCCTTTCCCCAAATGTG